CAGGTCAGTCTGTATTAAGTGGGTTGAATAAAGAGAAAAATTAAGGGTTTTCCCCAGTGACCAAGGCAACTTCCCATAATAACGGGGAGTCCACATTAAGCTGGTGTCCGTAAAGGGGGGTTTGACTGTATGATACAGGACAAACATAATCTAATGATAATAGAGGCTTAGTGCCCACTAAGTTTTTCAGTGTGTATGTATTCCACCTACAGTGACAAGATATTACTATAATGGCATAGTTTTTACACTAAATCATTAAAACTCAGAAGCCCAGGCATTGTTTGGGGTACAAGAAAGCCCTTATTAATCATAACAAAATACAATACATGGTAAATAACAAAAAGGTAATATTTAGTATAAAAATAAAGTGCTCCAACAAATAAGAAAGACCAATTAAAAAAGAATTAAAACACCTCAATCAAATAATAAAAGTGATCACACTGTCCATGAATAGAACAAAATAAAACCCAACAGGGAGGGAGAGAGGGAGGGAAATGATTGCTAGTGCAATAAAAGTGAATGTTGCTACTGCAATGCCAAGTGAGAATGTGACTAAACTAGAATTGTATCCGTCTGTAACCCATATTACAGTCGTGGTATTCCTATCTACCGTAGAACTACTATATCCTAGGTAGTAGACAAATGGTATTATAAAATCTCTCATGCCAACAAACTACTGTGATGCTGTACTAGCCCTGCATCCCAATGTGACACCTTCCTTGGAGATTTAGAACCGCATCAGTCGTCTCAACTGATGCACCCCCTTAATAACAATAATTAAAAGGAACAATTTTTTTAAAAAATATATAGAGATATAAATATATATCATATTTTCTTGTCTTGTGAAAAACCATTCTATTAAATATTTTGACACAAACAATAGTAAAGTCTGCACATCTATTTCATTTGTCAAAGCTGTTTTTCAAAATACAATTGTCAAATTATGTTTACGTCCTCTNAAAAGTGAATGTTGCTACTGCAATGCCAAGTGAGAATGTGACTAAACTAGAATTGTATCCGTCTGTAACCCATATTACAGTCGTGGTATTCCTATCTACCGTAGAACTACTATATCCTAGGTAGTAGACAAATGGTATTATAAAATCTCTCATGCCAACAAACTACTGTGATGCTGTACTAGCCCTGCATCCCAATGTGACACCTTCCTTGGAGATTTAGAACCGCATCAGTCGTCTCAACTGATGCACCCCCTTAATAACAATAATTAAAAGGAACAATTTTTTTAAAAAATATATAGAGATATAAATATATATCATATTTTCTTGTCTTGTGAAAAACCATTCTATTAAATATTTTGACACAAACAATAGTAAAGTCTGCACATCTATTTCATTTGTCAAAGCTGTTTTTCAAAATACAATTGTCAAATTATGTTTACGTCCTCTCAGTGACTATTTAACAGCTATTAGAACACGAATACGTCCACTTGCATTATTTTCATCCGCAATGGGGTTTTGCGATTTACAATAAGCAAAGACAGAAGTTCGTTAATGACTGCTTACGACTCTTCGCGAGTGCAATTTCCACAAATTTTATTTATTTCTTTGACCTTCGCAGATTTCCAACATGCGTGACGATTCAATATACTGGAAATTTATATACAGCAAGAATAATTAGCATGAAGATGATCATTATCAATCCTTCGATCGAAATTAGATTTTAGCGCGAATGGTATTGCCCCCGAAGTAGAATAGAACAGACTTCTCAAGGTCGAAGCTGTGCTCGCAGAAATTACTCCAAACAGGACTTCTTAAAACCTTTCTACTTACAATGTATCGCGGTATTCAAATTCCCTATTCTTCCAACTCGATCGGAGTCGTTGAGTTGTTTCTTGTCTCTTGAAATATTATCAGAAATCCACGGGTGTTTACAGAAAGCGTTCTCGATCATTAACATCTCGATATTCGTAAATCGAACGCCATGACGCATAAAATAATCTCGATTAATCGGCTCCGTATTGCTGTTACTTTTCTTCAAGGTACATTCCACCCAAAGCACTCGACAGCTATTTTTGCTTCGAAGTTTCCCTGTTCGGCATTTCTGTCGAGCTTAGTCCTTTCGCGGTCAAGTCAATGTTCTGGTTGAGCTCTGAGCCAATCAGATAGCAGGAAATTACATATCCAGATCTGGTTGTGGCCCGGACTGTCTGCGTTTTCCCGCTAACATGAACCTGGGTCACGCACGCAGTCAGGCCCTGTTGAGTAAACTATCTCGTAGTCTTTGTCATCCTCCTCTTGTAATCCGAATGTCTGTAGTGGAACGATCAGGGAAAAGAGTGCGTGCTGGTAGTCGCCTTGGTAAATGAAATCTTACATTAGATCTATGTGCGACCACTTCCTTTAAACGACCATTCTATATGAAACCATTTATTTCTCCAGTCAAATCCCTATAGTTGTAAGCTCTCGTAAACGGTTACTTCGCAAAAGCGACCGCTACAGTTCGCTACCACTTTTTGTGACGACGAATTTATAAATCTCCATCGTTGTGTAACACTTACCACTACAAAATAGCAGGCCAAGGGTCAATAAGAAGAAATGACGTTATGCGTATAACTTTTGCCTCAGTCTGGGTAGTAACCAATTACATTAAGTAACCCTTCAGGGGGTAAGGAAATAGGACTGACTATTAAATCGATCTATGGTCGAGAACGTTCAGAATAAGCAAGAAAGTAAACGAAAGGCTCGCAACACGTCATTATGAATGATGCAACAATACTGTGGAGCTCTTACCAATCGCTCGACATCTCGCTATCGAGCTCAAGGTTCTATTTTCTCTTCTTCCTGATCTGTTCGGTAATGGTTTAGACGCTGCTTCCCGTTTCTGCTTTTCCATGTGCTCTCTCGTCTCTTGCAATACTTACACTCTCCTCTACTTAATTGCGGTCTGGTGTCAGTAAATTCAAACGTGTTTGTCCCCGACTGTTGCAGACGAGCTTGCTTGGTGATACTGGTAATCTCCTACCGTGCCGTCCTTCGTTTCTTAAACGTAATTAGTTCCCTTGACTACTTTGCTAGACGAGGAGGCTTTCTCCCGTCTGCTTCAATGTCCGTAGCTAGCAAAGCTATTCGAGGTGGGAACATAGTGCTTGCGAATATTGTAAAGGCAGTTAACTGTAATCAGCATGTTCCCCAACTTTAGAATTTCCTTTTAGCTAAAAGTATTTTTAATTCCAACTGAATGTAAAGCACTTTTGAATATTGTTTATAGTACAAATTAATTATTATTGTTGTTATCTATTAAAATAAGTAAATTTAACTTTGCATCAAGATATTCTGAAGTTTATAAAAACTTAAAACGAAATCCACACACTGAGATAAAACTGAACAGTAAATAAATAAATGAATGAATAAATAAATAAATTATGCACAAACTAATGAAGTGGAATATACCTATTAAAGTAAATAAGCACATGGGGCTAGGAGCCGATTCAGCAAAGCAAAAGTTTAGTGTTTCACAAACAGGATCATAAACTCTTGCTATTTTATTTTCTTTTGTTTTTGTTTTTGTTTTGTTTTGTTTTTTTCTTTTTTGTCATTTCGCTTTTTTCAGCCTAGAACTATGATTAGTACGACTATCTAATATGCTTATTTTAAGATTTACTGTAGCTCTGCCATTGATTTTCCCATGTGCAATTATGATAATATTTTGTTCTAATTATCTAACTGTTAACTGTTAACTATTATCTAATTATCTTCCTTATAAGCCCGGTGGCTTCTCTTGGGCTTCCTCGCCATGAGAGTTTAAGTAATTAGATTTTATTTGATTTGTACAATTTTTGGCAAACAAAACAATAAACGATAAACAAACACACAACTTAAGGTGAAATATTAAATTAATTATTATTTTCATTGTGTAAAAGCCAGTGAGCCTTTACATTGAGACTATGAAGAAAAAGGTGTAGGCAGGTTTGTCGGTTAGGTGCCATAACCTTTGGAAACCAAGCGTACGTTTTTTGCCTCTCCTGTATGTAAGATCTGGTGAGTTATGGGATATACTGGTATTAATAATACGAACTAGATACCTAGAGTGAGGCAACTCAAGATCCGTCAAGATATTAAGAATCGCAGCAACTCTTTTCTGTGGCAAAAGCAAAAAAGGTAAAGTAGGAAAAGTTCCCACCGATTTGTTACAAATATTTCGGAATAATATATTTTATTCTCATGTTATCAGTCCTTGCCCTTAGTTTCCAGTCATGTTGCATTTAGACAGAAAAACAAGGAGTTCTGGAATTGTTTGCAATGGGTCGCGTCATGCGGAGCGAATAGACGTGCCTAAAGCTTCTCCGCACTGTCCGTTCTTGAAGAAGCAAATATCAACTTAATATTGGCCAAAACAACTTTATGTCCGGCAAAAGGAAAAACCGTTAAGACAGGTCAAGCGTTTCAAGTGTATCAGACGGTGAGCTACTTTCTCCGGAGGAGAAAAAGGTCAAAGTTCTAAGTGTCTGTGAGTGAGAATAGTTTACTACTGGATTCCTCGTCTGACGCAATTTTAGACGCCTTAGAAGTGACGTAAAACTTTAGGTCAAGAATCGATTGCCTTCTCGCACAGATAGCGGAAATGGATAAAAAAAACTGGAAAAGATTTTTTCCCCTTTCTCCAGTCAAGGGAAGAAATTTGACAAGCTGGACGCTCGAGTCAATAAACTTAAAGCAAACCAGTCTTAAGCATGAGGGAAAGTGAAGGAAATGGAGGATGGCCTGAATGAGATCAACAAGCAAGTTAATGAACTTAACGCGGCTGCCAACGAAAAAGTGGAGGTAAATTGCGAGAAGGCATGCAATGCGCGGTATAACGCGCGCGCAGTCTGCTAACCGCGCGTGGTCTTAGCCAGCTGCGAAATTCGAGGCTTCATAATAAATAAATAGATCTTTCTTTCTTTCTCTGAATATATGCTTGGTATCCGCCAATGACGTCATGGAGCATTTTGCGTTTCCAGGCAACATAGACTTCGCCGCCGATGACCAAGGCGCATTTTGATGTGTTTATTCATCATCGGTGAATCAAAGTTTACCATCGGTGAATCACGAACAATTTCCCATGCAAATGACACACAAGCTCAACAAGTGACTCCAAATCCTCGCCCAGGAAGATTTTCCACCGAAAGTCCTCTGGAGCGAGAACGCCGACTTCCGATTCAGCGTGAACAACGAAGGAGAAGACGTCAACAAGAAACCGTGGAGCAGAAGGAACATCGCTTAGCACAGCGAAGGCAACGCCGACAACAAGAGACAGAGGAACAGGAGATTGGAATCAGAGGCATTATGATCGATATCGTTCACTGTCGAAAACCCATCCCCACCGATATATGTAGATCAAAGTCTGCAAAGTTTCAGCTCTGTATTACGGCCCGAACTAAAATAATTTTCCGGGGAACTGCGCCGGGCCAGATTTGTTCTTTGTTTTTGTCTTTTTCTAAATCCGGGCGCCGAAATAATGCTAAATCTGCTTTTCAATACACTGTTAACAATAACACCACATAATACGCAAAACAGAAGAAGAAGAAAAGAAAGAACAACGTATGGACCTTTAAGACGATATTCGCGGTTGGTCACCCATCCAGTTCTTAACCCCGACCGTCAGGGCTTAACTTGAGTGCCGTTACCAAACCGAGTTTCGCGAGGCTTATTTCGAGATACGTATTTCTAGTTATACGCCGAAAAAAATGGGCTTCTACGGAATTCAAGAAGAAGGCAGGAAAATTTATGCAGCGTCCTAAAATCTTTCTTAGAGGGTATATTAGAAGTCGACACAAGTGACATCGAATTCCAGCGAGTCCACAGAGTAGGCAAAGTAAATGATGATGGAAGTCCAAGACCAATAATTGCTAGATTCCTTCGCTGCGGTGATAGAGAGTTTATTTTTTCGAGAGCCAAAGACTTGAAAGACACTGGCTATGGAAATTGTCCAGCGAAGAAAATACCAAGGCAGAGATTCTGACGCAAGGAAAGAGGGTAAGCGTGCCTTTATTGCACTTTATTGCCTTTAGTCGCACCGAACCGGGCAAATTATACAAAGACAAAGTATTGATCCCTTAGTTTGTAAAGGTTTATTTTGGTGGTTATTCATACTAGTCTAGTTATCTTATGGCCTAATTACCAACCAGTTACCAAGTAATTAATATCATAGGTGATTAATTATTCCTTAATTTTGGCGCCAAATTTCAGCGTTAATTTGTAATTTCAAATGTGAAATTACAAAATTGCCATGGCAACCTTCCGTACGTCTCAGTGTTAAGATGGCGACGAAGTTTTAAAATGTCATGAATGAAGATGTCAGGGCACAAAAAGACGCTTTAGAAAACCTGAACACACGAAAGAGCACATCAAGATAGATTCTAACAGGTATTTTGTCGAAAAATTCTGAACTTAAACCAAATTTAAGTTCTAAACGTTCGAGAGAGTACAGGAGTTCTCGATCGATACGATCCAGGATAATATATTACAGGTGCACTTGTGGCTTTCCACCATAAAGTATATACCGATAAACATGTCAAAAATCCAAGATTGCTAACGTAATTCTTCACCCATAATATTAATAGGTAATCAAATGGTATAAGGATTTGGACAAAACGCGCGTGAAATTATTCCCTAATTTCACTCGTCACCATTTGATTATACATACTTATTTCGGCAAAGTTAATTTGAACGTGTGCATGGGGAACGCTATTTAATACTAAATTTCAGAGGGAGTAAGATTATTTTCTGCTCTGCTTTGGTTATGTTTTTTACTATATGTGCGAGTCTGTAATGTTTGTCTAGTAATTTTGCCATCTCGATTCGTTCAATGGCAGCAAAACAGTTTTCTCTGGCTGCCTTTCAACATGTTTTGTCACCTTGTTTGTTTAGTCTCAACGTACGCAGTAAGCTCACCATTTTGGACAGGCCAATTTTGGGATACAATATTTGGTAGTTTTTCAAATCAAGTAGAAACAAAGTGTTTAAGAAGCTGGGTGGAGAGTTTGGTGTTTTGCATCAAATTCGAAAGTGATAAGCGTAACATCTAAACTTTTGTCTTTAAATGCTCGGGGGACTCGTTCTTTTAAAGAACGTAAAGCTGTATTTGCATGTTCTGTAAAACTGAAGTGGAAACCCCACAGCACCTATTTTTCCTTTGCAAAGTAGTGGGTATATGTTTTGGAAAGAGATTTTGTCGTGGACATCCCGTTATAATAATGACGTAAAGAATATTTCCCTTCCAGACGTCTTTTTTGCCAAATTCAACACCAATAAAGATCTTATGATAATAAATCATACCCTTTTATTAGCAAAATTCTTTATTTATAGGTGCAAATTAGATAAAAAAAGAACCATCAACTGGAGTTTTCAAGGCTAAATTGAAAGCTACCTACAAATTAGAACTTAATGTTTCTAGGAAAAATGATGTTCTTTCGAAGCATTACGCGTTTATCACAATGCTTTAACCCCCCTTTCCAACACATCACTTGACCATGCTTCATGCTTCTGCCCAAATACCTAAATACATAATATACACAATAATTGAAATATATTTGTTTTTTACACTTTAACATTATCAATTCCTCAATTTTGGTCTTGCTCTCTTTTCTTATAAACAATTTAATAGCTTATGTTTTATGTTGTCTTTTCCGTTGTTGTATTGGTAATTTGTATTTTGAATTTGTAATTAGTCAGTTATTTGTCAGTGCATGTATTATCAGTAATCAATAAGTCGATATTGTAATTTAATTTAATGTTATGTGAAGTGAGAGAAAATTGATTAAAAAAAAAAAAAACAGTAAACATACAAGTAGCGGCAACTGTTGCACGATTTTTGTTGATTAATAGTTATGTACGTCTGCATTTTATCTTGTTACTATAATTTTATTAATAGTGACACTATGTTCTCAACATTTTGGTATGAGTTTTGAAATATAAGGAAACGTTTACTAATTAAAAATAGGCGGATCATAAAAACTGGTCTAGATTTATTGACAATGTCATTCACAACTGGGGTGTCATCAAAGGGCCAATAAATGAAATAACAATGAACATCAGCCTATAGTCTAAGACAATTTTGCACCATACGGAGACAAGTGGCTGTAGATGATAACTACTGGATTTTTCAATATTTCACCTTTGAAACGGTGTATAACCGATAACTTGAGCAACTCAATTTTATAGCCTTATTGCCCGCTAGCACTACCCCTGCCGCCCATCCCCCGCCTCCTTAAACTTGCACATAGGTTTTGCTTACTGAAGCATTATGACAACTTAGTTAACTTGGTAACTGACATACAGTAGGCAAAATAAAAACCTGCTTCCACTAGTCTTTACTGCAGTCTTGGTATAGACGCAATAATTTATAAGGAAGCTAAACAGTATACCGGTACACTACTAACGCTGTGACCAGATATTTATAGGTTATTTGGTGAGCGCGTACGATTTTTATTCACAAGTTGTGTAAAAAAGACGAACCAGCGCAGTGACTGAGTTTGTTTTACACAACGAGTGAATAAAAATCGTACAAGCGAACTAACCGTGAAATGACTTATTTATTATATACATACCGAGATTCATAAGCGAACAGAACTCAAAGATAAACATATCTTTAATTTCTTTCAAAGGAAAACAACGCGCGGTCAAGCCGCCCCACAGTTCGAGAGTTGCACTTGAATGGATTCCTTGTAGAATACTTTACTACTAAATTATGAAGCAAAAATGCCTTTAAAAGTTAGAACTAGTTAAAACAAAATATAGACATCCCGAAAATATGTCGAAATAGTTCTACGGAAGTTCAAAATTTGAAATACAGAGGTGAAAACCCGAGACTTCATTTTTTGTTGCTTATCAGAACCCGCATGCTTGAATAGACAAATACTAGTCAGAATCCGAATCAAGAGGTTTGATTCTTTTACAGGTTTTCCTAGGGTTTTCCTCTCCGACTGAAAGTGTGGGCGATTGATTTAAAGTGTTTATTGCCACACTAATATGTCCTCCGCTTATAACAGCACTCGAAAAAAAGAGAAAGAGGCTGCTTTGCTGCTTGCTTGCTTTGCTGAGAAAAAGTTGGACGAAATGTTGGGTAAGTGCGTTCGTCAAACTCGTGCTTTCTTTTCTCCGGAATAGAAGAGCAAGACTGGGGAGCTATTTCTCCCGAACTCAGTCCAGTGAGAGTGTGAGACATGTTCAACTGTTGTTTCTGTGAGACGGTCGTAGCTAGTGATACTTTGAACGTTTTTGTGTCCTGACAGTTGCATAATATCAGTTGGTGGCACGTCGTTGTTAACTAAAGTTTGAATCATAATTTTTCTGCCGCTGTGGGTTTTGAAGTTTGGGCCGAGTCTGGCTTTCTTTGCCACTGTTTTCATGAAGGTATTAAGCTTTTTTACACCGACTGGAGCTTTTTTGAACCAAGGTTTGCCGGAGCCAGTTTTTACATTGTTTACTGCCAAGTAAAACGGTGCATCCTCGCTTTTCATTTCCTCGGGTCGCTTTTCTGCGTAGACGTCTTAGACCTTTACTGGACATTTCTTGTTGTTCGGCACAGCAAACATTTTCGGTGCAATGGCTCTTACATTCCGATGATCGAACGACTTTTGGTTTCTCTTTCATTGAGTTCGAGGTACTCCTGTCCTGTGGAAGTTTGACAGAGTTTTAAATCTCCCCAACACATTTCTCTGTGCTCCTTGCGGCCTCGTAACCCTAAATGGATTGTGTTGTTGGACCACACCGTGTTTAAAAGCGCTTCTGCCGTGGAACTTCCCAAGAGATCCTTTTCATACAGAACTTGAATATCTTCCTCACTTAAAGTAGCAGAGGCATTAGGCTTGTTGCCCTTGCCTTTCCGTTTTAGATCCCTTTGCTTTGACTGAAGCGCTTTCCGAGTTTGCTCAAACTGGACGTCTTTCGTAAGGCAAAGTCCATAGTTTTTTTTTCTTCAAATGGCGCTCAAAGCTAGCGAAGAATGCCCTTAAGGAATTAAGCTCGTATTCCTCGTTGTCTTCTTTTCTGCGAACCGTTAAAAGGAACTCGCTGAGAAACTTGTTCAGCTCTTGAGGAGTCAATTCGTCCATTTGTCTCGTCTCGCCTTTTAAAACAAGAAATTCGTGGAACAGAGCAACATCATGTTTGGTCTTTTTCTTGGTGTCTTCATTTTCCTGTCCGTCTATGAACTCTTCTACTGATGAATCTATGCTCTGGAAACGGTTAGTCTGATTTGAAGCCATTTTTCTAAAGAAAAATGCGGCTAAGCTCTTAGAAATGTGCTATTTGTCAGTCAAGAGGAGCAGCGAGCGAGCGACACGGTTTTGTTCACTAGTGAAAATAATGATATAGCCAATCAGAGCTTCGATACGTCTTTTTTCACTAGTGAAAAAAATCTTATGACCAATCAGCCGGCTTCTCTGGCGCGAAGAGACTATTTTTATTTCGATGCTTTTTGGCTCGTAAATCTCGGTTTGTATATAATAATAATTGCTCTGTAATTCTAAAGCACCACACTCAGCACTACTCGCAGAGGATTCAAGTTGGCCTAAATGCACTATAATTCTTGCCTTCTTGCCTTAGACCAAAATATGTGACTTTCCCTATTCAATTTTAGGCCTGATCCAAAATTTCGTCCCCAATTCCAAACCACGCTTTGCACTCCAGCTGAACTGGAACTTGATTCGATCAGTTTGCTAGCCCTAATCACAAAACTTTACAGTTATTTTGCGCCCGGATTCCCCTACCCTTAGCTTTTCAACGCCTGTCACGCAGGGTAGTTTCTGTTTATCAGTTCATCTCAATTAGACCGTACTAAGTGTCCTGTGTAGTCTTCAAAAAATGCCAGTATCCCGAACAAAGCGACCCACTTGGAAGAGCTAAGCAAGTGAAATTTTCCTCCCAGTGGGATCAAGAACATCAAAAATCCGTTATGAGCATGAGCAGTGATATTTCTAGCTTCTGCAAATGAGACAACCAAAGTTGAGAAACTTTCTTACTTCCGGTAACGGCGCTCCTAGCGAGCCTCCTTTCAAGACCACGGTTGGAAAGTTATATCCTGGCCGATCCTCCTCCTTGCTGCCTACATTTGGTCGGGTTTCGCGCCGTGATAACTGACAGCACCGCGGTCTTGGGGCACGAAGACGTTTAACTTCCTGTACAAAAACTACAAGTTCAGCTCTATTTGTGCATGATTGCGACTAAGGCTTATGCGACTTGTGCACTAACTCATTTTTTTGTTACGTTGCTAAATGCGCTAAGCCGTAAACTTGCTGTTCATGATGTGCCCGTTGTACGTAAAACCGTTTGACTATCTCTAATTGTAGTCGAATGCAAATTCACGATCACTTACTAACTAAATTGACCAGTTCAGTGGTCACGCTTTCCCTGAACTAAATGTTTGTCACCATTTGATATGAAGCATTTTTGTAACGGAAACCCCTGTCACACATGTCGATATTCAGGTTACATTACTAGTCACTACTAGTCATAAATGTTTCTGAATTTCGAAGGTTTGATTTGCTGGGATTCGGTCGGGAGGCGTTTACACACATCAAGTAATCTTAGCATATTCGTCCTGAAGCAAAGTTTTCACGTTTGATTGCTGTTTCAAAATCTGCGGACATGTGCAACCAAACATCAGTGAAACATCTGGGTGTTAATTCGAAAATAAATAATTGTAAAATCGACGCTGTTACAAGAATTTTAACCCGGCCTCGTTTTCCCAGTTGTCCTCGGCGATTTCGGATGCGACGTCACCTGTCAAGCTTGTCGGGAAAATTCGCCGAGGACGCCTGACAAATAATGGCAAATCCAAAATGGCGGCGCCAATCCGAGAAGGCGACTTCAGCCAAAATTCTTAAAGAAATAAAAAAAAGGGTCGGAAATAGGTTGAGATTCTTTAATCAACGTTCGCCATCAAATACATAGAGTTGTCGGAGAAGTTTCTTTCAAGGAATCATTTCGCGTGTACACTTGTTAGTATCTTACATGTAGGTCAGTAATTGCGAGTTTTGATTGTATCAAAAAACGGGGATTAAATTTAGCCCAACAAATCGTCCCATCTCAGAAGTGTGTCCCATTGAATGTAACTGGTGATGGAAGCTGCCCGTCGGGAGTGAGTTAAAGCATGTTGAACTTCGTGAACTGATGTGTCATCAAAGTAGCTCTGTACTCAGCATTTTTATCCTTAGCGGAACTCGTTAATCGAATCGCAGCACAACGCAAGAGAGACCTCTAGCCTAGGTGTCGTCCCAAACGATAGTGGATCAACTCATAGACGCTGCTTTTGTCCATGAAATATACAAAACGGAAGTCATGAAGTGCAGTCAGCCTTTTGAATACGTCTCAATGTGGCAGATACAAGCTATAGGGGAGGTTATACTGAGTAAAATCAGGAGCGTTCAATTTATCCTGAAACGACATCACATATAAAACCGTTTTTGTCCATGTTTTTTATGGCACTTATCATAAATAACATTTAATTCCATACCCAAGTTACCTTCAACCAGTGTATCTACCCACCATTTTAAATAAGATGATCCTTTGGGGACTGGTGAAAACTTTCAGCCAAGCTTTCTTTCTGATTCTATCAATGTCTGATTCTATCGTTGTTGTTGTTGTTGCACGACCCCATATCTAGGTTCTACGTTCCACTGTGCTACAATCTTATTTAAACTTAATCTCAACCGCGGCAGGATTAGCTCAGTCGGTGGAGTGCTTGACTTCAGAGCGTGAGCTCGCGGGTTCGATTCCGGGGTCAGAGCAATACTCAGGGTCTTAAAATGACTGAGAATGAGGGTAATATATAGATTTAGCCAAGGCTAAAAGCGAGGCTCTCAGTGATAAATTTATAATTTCAATCAAACAATAAACTTGTAATCCACAAATTAGTTAACTTAAGGGCACATTCATGTGACTTTTGATAAAAAGGCTAAGTTAGTTTAGAGTGAAACAGCTTACATTGAGTTGTACACCCCCCCCCCCCCTCCCCCCCCCCCCCCCCAAGAAAAAATAGCAAACATCTTCGATCACATTCAAGAGCGATAATGGCTCCTCAGTGATCACTGTAGATTAGGCCTCGAAAACAAATTCTTGGAAAACAAATCACGCCGAATTTTTTTGCGTTCGACAGGTTTACTTTACAAATTCTTGTCAACAAATCTGGGGGTGTGTAAACCAACGTTTTTGTACCGTTTTATACATCACATCTGAGATGAAACAGTATTATTTATCATACAGACCTCGGACAGAATGCGGTATTTCACAATTTTGGTTTGTTTATTGGGTTTTTGGTTGAGAAATGCGTCGCTTGTCAAAATTCGGTAATCCGATTTCGGATGGCATCGTTTTCGTTTTTCACCTTGCTTAATGCGTAAGAGGCTTTAAATGTCTCAAGCAACTATGCCTTCCTCGATAGCTTTCAGGAATTGAATCTCGAATAGTAAGCCTGAGTAATTATTGTATTTGATGTTTGTTTTTGTTATATCTAATTTCATGAAATCGTTCACAGTTTATGCGGCAAGTTTATGCACGTTTGTAAGATTTGAGTCAGTGATCTGACCTAGCACCAGGTTTGATATAAGCTTACAGAACTTTAAAAGGCCTTCAGATATATTTTCTTACCGCAAACAGAAAGAAAACGTTCCGAAGAATATTTAGTTATAAATTTGGTTGTAGAACGAAAACTTTGAGCGATTTTCTTTCTTCCAGGAGTAGATCTTTGAAAAAAGCAAATACCGGGAGGCCGGCTTAAAGTAAAACATAATTATTAACTTAAGCTTAAGCTTTAAGCTTAAAGACTCAGGACTTTTTGAGACACTCTAATTTTTCTCTTCCTGAATGAAAATTGTTGTCTCTGTATTAAGTGTTTCACCAAATTCTATTTCTTTTGTTAATTGTTAGTGGTCTCTCTTGCAATTTTAATCGCTTGTCCGTGCCGTTTGTTTTCATCGTTCATGAACATCGCTTGCAGGAGTACTCAAAAGTGTCGGGCGTATCAAACGCTTTATAATGTTAAAGCGCAACTCTATTAAAGTTTATTCAAACACTCGACCACACTGACCACTAGAACCGGCTGGCCGTATGGGTGATTTTGGAAATTTTTTGAACGGGTTCGCTAAAAGCCCACGATTGATCTTCCTGAATATTGACTGAGTGCAATTTGTCTTGAAAAATTGTGAAATACCGCATTCTGTCCGAGGTCTGTATGATAAATAGTACTGTTTCACCTCAGATGTGATGTATAAAACGGTACAAAAACGTTGGTTTTATTTGAATAACAGAAGACTCTTGATAGCAGCTGTATTTCATTTTGTACATCCAGTGGAAAAAGACAGTTAAAAACATCACAAGTTGACACAAAACTTTGTCAGCTTCAGATGTCAAAGTAAACAACTTTGAAGATGCTGCATAAATTTTCCACATGAAATCACCTATCAAGTTTTGACCAATCAGAGCATAAAAATTAGACGTGGAGCGTGACTAACTCGTGACCATGGTAAGAAAAAGTCTTCTCCGCCTGTATTTTTGGCTGAATTTTTGCGTCCGAGGTCAGTTTGAAATCAAAATCTTTACAGTGCGGGGCCATAATGACATAAACACAACATATTTCATGTGAATCGTTGGAAAAAATAAACTTGAGGCTGTGATCATTTGAAACTCGTAATTTGTCAGCGGATAACTTCAAAAATACTCGATGTCGATGGGTCGACACTTGAGCCAGCGGTACGGTCAGGTGATACTGGTCAGCAGATACCCTGTTTTGCCAGCCGTCAATTGATCACAACATTGATATGCAATTAGTTTTCTCTTGGGCTCACAAACTAGCTAGAAAGTGTGAGAGTAAACGTTGGTTTCCTTGTGGTGCTGACGGACGGTCGCTTGCTCGATCGGTGTACGGTGACGTGATTACCAAATTTTCTGGGATGGGTAGATTTACTTAGCTATGGGGCTCCTTCGCGCCGTGCGTGGAGCTCCGCTATTACCTTTGCCCTGCTGCAAATGGCTAGACCTTCACGTGGCTCAGATGAAGTTTTTTCCTCAACCCATTCCCAGACCAAGTTTTACAAGACAATAAGTAGTTTTTGGCAGGTTTAAAACATCTCTCTTAAATAAATTTTACAAGCGTTCAGACCTATGGCTTGTAAGGAAATCAATCTAATTTTCTCAAAAAATCAATATAGTTTTGTTTAATGAAATCTAAGAAATTCAATATTACTCTGCTACGCGCGCTACCGTTAACACCAGACAAAACTTTTGACATTTTTTTGACATATTTTTGACAAGTTGGGATGTCTGATGTCTGGCAAGTGGCCAATCACAGCGGAGAAAATCTTGTAACAAGGCGCAGCCGAACAACAAGTTGATCCCGGCGCTACCAAAGAGAGAGTTTTCAGTAAACAGCATGCCGGCTTATCAGGTGTAGGTAAAGTACGGAGAAGAAAGGTTTTGCACTTTCTTAATCAAGGATATCACTTTCGCGAAGCTTATGCAGGAGATAAAACGCAACTGCTCGCCACTCGCGCACTTACCCGCTTCAAACATTCGTGTACGTTATCGCGACGAAGACGGTGATATGATCAATTTATGGGACGATTCAAGTGGCCTTTCTTTTGGAGAAATGCTGAGGAGTGCCAAAGAAGTAAAAGAACGGGATTATAAAAAAAATATCTCTACAAGCAAGTGAAATAGATTCAACGCTACCCCGTATGAGACGAACCGACCTGGGAATGCCGAGTTCGGAAGCTGACAACGAGTCGCTGCCACCGAAGCATTTGTCTTTCACACCAGACGCCGCGCGTCCCGCAACAACAACAGGCAACCGCGCTGAAAAAAGTCCTTTGGACTTTCAGCGACAGGAAATTGAAGAAAATGTGCAGATTTTGAAAGTACAAGTTGCTACCGTCAAAGACGAATTGGAGAAATTGAACTGTGAATCCAGGCACTTTCAGTCTCTAAGTGAAATTCGAGGCCAGCTGTGTAACAACTGTCATTGCTGTGGGCATACAAAAGTTGAGTGTTCAAAAGCTCCTTGCACGGACATAAACGCATGTAAAATAAAGGAAAAGCACCCAGAGCACAAAGCTAAAATTAGCCAACTTCAGCGGGAGATAAGATTTCTTGAAAACAAGGCCCAAGAAGAGGAAGCCCACCTCAAAGGTTTTACAGCTGCACGTGAACGCGCAAAATTTTCGTTTTTCTACGTAATGAGACCTAGATTGAAAAAGCAAAACCAAGTTAAATACTCAAACAGAAGTCGGTTGGACAGAGATCTTATAATTTTACAAAGAGCGATAAAAAAGGCTCCCGATTGATCCGAAGATGAAGATTGGAGACTTCCGCTGATTATAGAACAGTTTGAGAACTCGAATGTAAACATTTATTTGAACGAATGAACTACTATTCCAAGCATTCTATGACATTTTTCATTTTTTGTGTTGCGTTTTTCATATTCCCTTTTCATTTTTATAAAAGTAACTCGTGTAGGATGCAAACTAAAAGAAGTGTACACTTATTTGAATGAAGCATGTTGTACATTTATTAGCTTCTTCTGAGATTTTTAATCATGTTAATTTGTTGGTTAGAAGGTTAGAAGACGTTATATTATTCTTGGTCTCATGTAGCGTTGAGACTGTAAGAGTCATTTGTTCTGTGTCAGATGTTTTTTTCACTAAGAAATTAGTGGCGATTACTCGATTAGTTTGAGTTATGTACTTTCTGCCCTGCATCAGCGGTCTGTTCTACAATGCCAACATTCAACAAATAACGAATTGATTTCGCTAAAAATATGTAAGTTGTGTTCAAAGGCATTACGTAGGTTTTTTAACTTCAGTTTTCTGGACTTTATAACTACCAACACCTAACTTAAAAATATCCACAGTGCTTGAAATACGCATAAGAGTTATCCGCGGTGATGTTGAGGATCGCCTGTGCTATTGCGACTTTTGTTTCATTGACAGCTAGCATGTTGTGGCGACGTAAGAAAGCTTTTATCGCATTAAAGCAATATTTGCAAGTATTAAAATGCGGTGAGTAAGGTGGCTGAAATAATAGTCTTACACCGTAATCCGCTAACATGTCCCTGAGCGGTGGTTCAACACGATGGCCGTAGTGAAAGCCACAATTATCCATGATCACACAATCTCCGCGCTCAAGCACTGCACTTCCATCAGCTCGCTGCTCTTGAAGAACTTCGTCAAAGAAATTAAGCATTTCTAACCCATTAGACGGGCCTTCCAGTATATTATAAAAGTCCACGCCACAAAATGAGTGCAACAGATTTATAGTAAAATTTTCATTAGACGCGTATCGCTGTATTTCAAAAGCGGGCTCTCCGAGTGGAGCACTCCCATATTTTCTGTTTCCTGTAGTTTTGATTACACTGGATTCATCAAAGAAGTGCAGGGTCGTTGGGTTGATGTCAGCTATTTCGGTGAGAAAATCATCAATTGCCGCTGTTGTCTCAGGGGTTGTGGATTCAAGTGGAATGGCAGTAATTTTCTTTCTTGTCATCACAAGATCTTTGCGGATGACTTTATTGATCTGTGATATGCTAGGTAAATTAGCGGGATGGACAACACCATCCAAAGCTAATTTATACAACAGGATAAATTGGAGTTAATGTGATCACCATAAACCCGCCCTTACCAATAGTGGAATCAGCTCACTTCCTTTCAGGGGTCACTTCCTGCATGCGACCCCTGTCACACAAATTGTTTTGCTCAGCCAATTAGATGCCAGCTATCACATGTACAGTTGATGCCTATATTTTCGCTCCTAGCTCAGCAAAATAGCACTTCATATTCTTCTCTTCGTGGAACAAAATGTTTGTTACTTATAGCCTGGATTTTTTCTTCATGAATTGGAATTTTTGCTAAGCTGTAATGACGAGATCACCGTTTAGGAAGGGCTACCTTGGTCTTCCAACTGCATACAAGCCTTACGCGTTCGAGTTTTTCTGGACAGATTTTCCACGAAGAGATGTTGCACTGCCGCTCCTGGTCAAACTCCGTCCTTGGAACATCGATCTACAATCGTGCAACCCTCCTCTAGAATGTCGCTGCTTTCTCCTCTTCTTGAATTTTCGATATCCTCTCGCATGTACCGTCACCTTAGCCGTTTCGACTCTCTCGGCTGGCACTTCACAGTCAAGGTTCCTCCATAGCAAATCATCTTAGCCCAGTGTGTCGTCCTTTGGGATCAGAGTTGCTCTCTCATGATTCAGGTGCGGTATTTTTCTGGTTTATCGATAGTTAACTTAATATTGTTATTATATTGTGCCTCGAACGACATCTGTTTTTGCAATATTGTGTGCATGTGACTGTACTGAGCGCTTTGAGACATGGAAAGTTATCTTTGAGTTCACTTACTGTATTATGAAGAAGGACTTGGCGCCGCGGCCTCTGAAATTCACTTTATTCAAGTCCCGGGGATTCAAGTATGCATGTCCGTGTTTTTATTATGCTCTTACTGTGGAGTAAGAGAGAATACGGACTGTTAAAATCAAATCTGTGACGATTGGGTCTTCGAGGTTTTTTCAAATAATGGATTGAATTTCAGTTTTAATTCTTTATTCACATCTAACATATTATGAGTTGAGAATGATACATGACAGAAAATCATCAAGGTCGGTTTCATGCTTCGCATGTGCAGACTGCCCATTTAAAAAGGCGCGTTTTACAGTATTCGAAAATCAGAAATTTCCTTCGTTCTCCGGATCATAAAGAGGAATTATAAGCTTAAATTTTCAGGGATTACCACCTCTCAGGGCCTGGGGATCAGGACCCCAGAGAGAGGATTAGGACCTGTCTTTAGCCTGGTTGTTGTGTTGTTGTTGCGTGATAACGGTCTCATTGGGTGAGTCCTCTCTTTCGGAGCTAACCTTTCTTCCTTTCTTCTTGTGGTTGTCCCCAGGGGGCCTCGGAATGTACTATTGTCATTGTTTCAATAATTGGGTTGAAACCATAAATTATACAGTTACTTTTAGTAGCTTACAAACTACAACCATGAGCATGTGTATTCCGTTTCATCGATAAGGAATTGTTTAAAATTTTGTCAATATATATTGGGCTCTCACATCTCAGTATCTGGCCCTGACTTGATAGATACGCCAGTTGCATCCAGTTTGTGTAATTAGTCAATTAACTGGGCTTAATTTACAGACTGATCCTTTGTTTTGTTATTTGTTGTTGCATATCTCCTCATCTGCTGTAAAGGAAGTCTTAGGCCGCTGACCAACTTGTTGCTGTTCCTGGTTAAGTCCTCAGCTGATACCTAGTCGATGGGGCATTTGCCCAGTCTAATCTTACACGCAATGTTCAAGTACCATGTGACCAGTGTTTCAAGTGACATTTGACTCTGGAAATAGCCCTACAATTCCTGTTGTTCGTCTATGGGGAATACCCCTTTGGGGTATTTGTGGGGATGAAGTGCTCCCATACGGGTCACACTTTACCCGATAGACTCTTGTTACTCCTTAAACCGGGGAATTAGACATCTAGAGAGGTCTTGCCACCCCTCCAGTACCCAAGGGGGATTATCACCTCCACTCACAACCTTGGGGGATTATCACCCCCTAGAGAGGATTATCACCTAGCTTCTCACTATCCTGGGGGGTTATATTATCGCCCCCAAGAGAGGATTATCACCTCTCACTATCCTGGGGGATTATCACTCCCTAGAGAGGATTATCACCTCTCCCCTTGTAGATTTGGAACTGTCACACCAATATGTAGAGAAAAGTGACCTGCTGTCCATATTTGGAGTACTTCATCCCTTACCCCTTTTCCCCATAATAATTCTGGTCTAGTTACTTGCTTTATCTAAGGGGTTATGGGTTAAGAGCATTAATGAAAGTCTCTGTTGTATTTCGCTCGAGAAAATGCTTGGTTTTCTTACTTTCTGTACTTCTATATATTGCAAGGCTGCTTCATCAATTTTTGGCCTAGGATAGTCAACTCTTGCGGCTCTAAGGGATGTATTTTGTTCATTGTATCGATCTATCACTTTCTGCACAAAGCCAGGACTCGAAAGAACTTCCCGTGCGATTTGCATTGGCAGTGACCGAATCCATCATGATAAAGGTCCAATACTCGTTCCCTTTGCATCTCAGGAAGAGGTCTGCCATTATCAAAACATCCACCGTACCTATTCAATCTTAGTTGAGCAGTAGCTGGCGTAAAATAGCAAACATATCTTTTGTTAAGAGACACTTGCCGTAATGGTTTCATCTATTTATAGCAAAGGCAGAAAAACGGTACAAACTCTACTTACAAACATTTGTAACCCGAGCGTGTAGCATTGTAGAAATTTTAAGAGCCTTCCTTGATCAGTGTTATAATAATTACAAAGATTATATTATTTCAGAAAAGGTGAACTAAAGGAAAAACGACAGAGTAAGTCATTTGCTGGTTCACCGCTTAACTTTCCTGCCAATATCACGCCGGTCATCAAACTTGTCAAAAATATGTCAAAAAAATGTCAAAAGTTTTGTCTGGTGTTCACGGTAGCGCGCGTAGCACAGTAAACATCACAGTTTCATATTTTTTATTTCCATTTCAATTTTCCTTCCGCTTAATTCCATTTTCCTTTCGCTCCTGTATCCTTCACATCCCCAGTGTCATCTATCACGTGCTCTCCTTTCATTCTCTGAGCTCATGTTGTTGCCATTGAGCTCCTCAAAACTCCATCTAAATTTACAGCAAATTAGGCATCATTTGAATGAAATGAAGAGAAATTACAAATGCTTATCGATACCTTTTACCAACAGGGTCTAGATCACATACGAAATGGATCAGAACTAAAAAAGTCATGAACAGTAGCGATTATATATAATATATTATTAACATGACACAATTTTTGTGTGCCTGAATTTGGGCCAGGATTAGAATGAATATCTCATGCTAGCAAAGGCATGTTAGCAGGATTATGCAATTAAAAGCCAGGCTTTAACAAATATTAAGATTATGTGCAGGTTATTAAACGGCGAACGAGAGGTATAATTTACTTGAGATCTGACAGCAAAACAAGATGAACTAAGATGAGCCTTAAATATGAAGTACACGAATAGCCTAACCTAATATGCAATTAAATTTTTTTTTGGCTTTTTCCCGAGAAACTGTGTAAATGATTCTCGTGATTTTTCCTACCAACAATTCGAACAACAAAGGCAAAATAAGCCAACTATAGCCATGTAAACTAAGAAATAAACGCCCATTTTGTTCAATGAAAATGAAGCCTTTGATACTAGAGTAAACACAGTGTACAGTGATCGTCCCATGTCCAACTGCGAAGGAACTTTTTTCTGGCTTTGTGT